GGGGGGGGGCAGACCAGTCACTGGAAGCAGGGAATCATACCACTCATCTTATGTTAACCCTGCAAGATAAGGCCCTAATGAGTAGGGTGGTCCCAGTTGGAGAAGCAGAGGGAAGACTTACCAGACAGCGATGCATAGCAATGACACACAATGCATTTTTAACTGGTCAGACTCCTAAGAGTACCCCAACACATACTCTGGGGTCCCCAAGTCTTGGCTCTTACCAACTGGCACCTTGTACTTTCTGGAAATAGGTAAGCAAGATGCGACCCTCCAGAAAGAGAGTGCTCATTCCATCCCACCAATCTATCTCTGGAATTTCCATGTGTAGGTGGGATGTATGGAATTCTCAGCTGGCTTGGAAATTCAAAAAGAGAAAGAGTTTCTGATGATACCCCAACAACAATATACCTGATTAAATTGGTCATTCACTTCATGGTATTTGTGGGACATTGCCATGAGGAAATTGGTTGCTAAATTTGCCTGAAAATATATAACCACCACAATTTATAACAAAATCCTGTGAAGTGCTTTAACATGTGATATGGTGCTACATCAAATGCAAGGATTATCCTAGGAGATCCCCGTGGAGATCCTGAAGCAGCCGTCCAGCTGCTCCATGATCGCCTCTCCTCAATTCCCTCAACTCCCTCATGCCCCTGAAATCCAGGACCATCTCCAAACCCACCCGATCCCCCTGGTACAACAACTATCTCTGCCGCCTAAAAACCCTAACCTGGCTGCTCGAGCAGAGATGGCGGAAAACTGGCCTGACAGTCCACCGCTCAACTGTGGCTCGAACATCTCCACAGCTACTGCCGTTCTTTGACACGCGCAAAAACGGCCTTCTACTCCAACATCATTTTGGAGGCTAAACACAACCCCAAAATCCTTTTTTCCACCACCCACTACCTCCTCCATGGCCCCCCTCAGGCCTCCTCAATCTTCATATCAAAAGCCAAGTGCGAGGAGGTCATGTACTTCTTTTCATCTAAAATTCACAAGATCCGCCAGGCAGCCTCATCCACCTGCCTCTTGTCACCCACCACCATGCCCTCTCTGTCCCCCTCCCCATCATCTGCTCCTACCACCACCCCCATCCTACATTCCTTCCTCTTCATCTCTCCCTCCTCCCTCTCACCCACCATCACCTCCATGAAACCCACCACCTGCTGCCTCGACCCCCTCTCCACCAACTTGCTGGTCACCCAGCTCCCCCTCCTCTGCCCATTACTGGCTGATGTCATCAACCAGTCCCTCTCCTCCGGATCAGTCCCTGCCCCCCTCAAAACTGCTGTCATCACCCCCGTCCTCAAAAAACCTTCCCAAGATCCCTCAAACCCCAGCCACTACTGCCCCATTTCTAACCTGCCCTTCCTCGCAAAAGTCCTAGAATGAGGACAATCGACTTCATGCTCACCTCTCCTCCCTCTCCCTCTTCGAACCCCTCCAATCTGGTTTCCACCCACAGTACAGAGACTTGGGCTTGTGAAAGTCACAAACGACATCCTCTCTATCTGTGATCAGGGCTCCCTCTGCCTCCTTGTCCTCATGTACTTCTCCGCGGCGTTCGACACAGTCTATTACGTCATTCTCCTCCACAGCCTTTCCTCCGTCATCCACCTCAGTGGGACCGCACTCGCCTGGTTCGAGTCCTACCTCACAAACCGCCAGCAGTACATCTGCACAAACGGCTTCTCCTCCCGCTCTCACCCGGTTACCTGCAGGATACCACAAGGATCCATCCTTGGCCCCTTTCTCTTTCTGATCTACATGCTCCCTCTTGGGGATGTCATCCGCAGACATGGGGTACATTTCCACATGTATGCGGACGACACCAAACTCTATTTTTTCACCTCTCTTTGCGACCCCCAGTGCCCTGATGTTCTGTCAGCCTGCCTGTCAGATCTCAGGGGCTGGATGAGCGCAAATTTCCTTCCGCTGAACGTTGACAAGACGGAAGCCATACTCTTTGGCTCTCGTCAACGTCAAAAATCTCACGGCTCTCACCTCCTCCACCTACCCGAACTCCCCTTAAAACTCTCCGAACCCGTACGCAACCTGGGTGTCAGGTTCGATCCCCAAGTATCCTTCCTCCTCCACATCCAGTCCCTCACCAGCACAGTTTCTTCTACCTCCGACGCATCGCCGGTCTCCGCCAACACCTCACTCCAAAAGCCGCTGAAACCTTGGTCCATGCCTTTGTCACTTCTCAGCTGGACTATTCTAATGCCCTTCTCGCCAGCCTCCCATCCACTATCATCCATAAAATCCAGATCATTCAAAACTCTGCCGCCCGCATTCCCACCTGCACCAAACTCCGCTCCCTGAGGATGAGGATCTTATTTGGAGATCCTCTTGATTGATCCTTTTGGAGACATGAAACCGGTGAAACCTGGTGAGGAACGGGTGATTGGCACGTGGAATTAGGTGTGGGTGAGGAGATGGCCATTATGGGAAGTTTTGTATTAGCTGGATGTTGTGGACAGTAGAAAATGGGGAGATCAACGAGCATTTGAGAAATCAAAGTAGGAGGTGAGAAAAGCATGACTGAGAAAACTTGATTGATTGAGCTGGACAAGTAGGACTGATGAGGCAAGTAATATTATTACCAAATTCAGGGTAGACCATTGAATCATTTTGGTACCATCAAATTTCCCACAGGGTTCCTTCATGCATTTATTTCTATATCTAACAACTCTGAATCCTTTAAGTTGATATGAGCTTATCTAACTCTATTTGAACCCCTTTGCACTTTACTGTTGCATCACATACTATCATGCCTGGCTTATTTGGTAGCACTCTCACCTCTGAATCATAAGGTTGTGTATTCAAGCTCCACATTTACATGGAACTCATATAGTTTAAGCTGACAACATCAACTGAATTGTTGGAGATTCCTACTTTCGAATAAGACATTAAACCAATGTCCCGTCACCTGTTCGGGTGGATGTTAAAGATTTCATAGCACTATTTGAAAAGAGAAGGGAGTTTCTCTTGTTGTCCTAGCTAACAATCCCCCAAATACAATTAGTCACTTGTGGGATATTGCTGTGCGTAAATTGGCTGCCACTTTCACCTACAAAACACAGTCACTGCATTTTATAATACATTTTGTGAAGCATTTTGGTACATCCCCAATGTGAAAGCCGCTGGACCATATATAAGGAATATTATTATTATTATTATTATTATTATTATCACTTTTGGCTAAAAAAAGTATCCACATTTTCTGGCTGGAGGTATCTTAATTTTATTAACATCCCCCTCAGTCTTTTATGTAAAGAGAAAAGTCTTCCCTCAAGCTCTGTCCCTTAAATTCTGGAATTACTCTAACTTTGAATTTATATGTATTGGCATAATAATAATAGTCTTTGCATTTGATATAGTGCCTTATCACATCTTCTAGGCATCTCAAAACTCTTCACAGAATATACTGTAAAGTGAATTAACTGTATATTTTGTAGGCGAAATGCAACACCAATTGCACACAGCAGCATCCGCAAACTGTCATGGTTTGAGTGACCAAATTATTATTATTACTTATTTTTTGAAGGGATTATCTCTGGAAAAGCAATCCGCCAATCGACTAACAACCGGGTTCCTACTTACTGCTAGGTGAACAGAGGGGTGTGGAGTAAGAAAACTTGCCATGCTTTCGATCACCCTGCTTCCCCTCCTGCCCTCCATCCTCCCCGATCCCGACCACCAGCTCGCATCCGAAACTCTGACTGATCAGCGCCTTGGGAAGTCCTCCCAACGTAAAAGGCGCTAAACAAATGTAATTTTATTGTTGTTGTCCAACGTTTCGCCCTCTCCGGGAATCAAACCCAGGTCCTCTCGCTTATGAGGCGAGTGCTCTAACCACTAAACTACAGGACTCCAGTGCTCTAACCACTAAGCTGTAGGCATGCTCTCATCACAAATGTAACAAGGCAACATACATTATTGAAGAATTACACTGCTGATTGCATACACAAAGAGGCGACTAATGAATGTTGGAAAAGGTTAATACCACTTTATATTGATGCTGACAGAGGCTCTGGAGTCCAGAATGCTAGACTAACAGATTTCTAAAATATCCAGACTGTCTGCATTAAATGATGTTCTACTTATCCACAGATGTCTTGATGATATTCTGCAAGTATTGTGATTATAATAATAATAATAATAATCCTTGCATTTGATATAGCGCTTTTCACGTCTTCTAGAGCTTCACAGAATATACTGTAACATGAATTGACTGTATATTTGTGGGTGAACGCGGCAGCCAATTGCGCACAGCAATGTCCCACAAACAAGTTGTTTTCACATATCTGTACTTACCGTGTTTTCTTTTGCAATGTCCACTTGCCAAATAATAGTAAGGTGGTTTTTTTGCAGATTTTGTTTCTGACACATGCAGAAACCCACCACCATGCTTAAGAGTATCCAATCCAGATAAATTTCTACAAATGCACGCCACCTACAAATAGAAATGTGCTTTGCTCTGGAATGGAATGTGCGTCTCTCCCTGGAGTAACACACCATGTTTGTTTGTTGCTTAATTCCATAGGGTGTTGGGTGCAGTTTGGTGAGAATCAAGGATTGGGAACCTCAGAGTGTGTGTTAGAGGTACTGAGTTCAACCAATAGCTTGCCATTCAGAGCACTGTAAGTTTCCCACCAGTTCTGGGATTCTGGGAAGGACCACCCTATCTGTTACAGCTTTGCCCCTAGTGATTTTAGTGGAATTCTGAAAAATACAGGAACAAAGTCACTTCAAAATTCAGATCGGGGAACAACCACTACTTATCTGTGAGTTCGCACTTGACTCAGCGAGTCCATATTTCTGCTGGTGTAAATGAGGCCAAGTTCTCAACCACTGTTAAGCTATTTGAACTCTATTGCCCTATAAATGTGTGGTTTGCTTTTTAACAGGTTTAGTAGAATACTTAAAATATCTACTTCCTTGTGCATACTGCACTTTTAAAAGTAAGTTTAAAAATAAATAAATCTGACCCGATACATTCCAAAGTCAACTGTGATGGTTGCTATGTAGCGGGTCTCCCTGCCGCTCCTCACATCTCGAAGCTCCAGTTGAAGATCGTGCCACTTCCCATCGTTCAACGGAACCTGATTCAGCAACAGCCTCACAGTCCGACTCGTTCCTCGGTTTACAGCAAACGACAAATGTCCAGAGTTCAGCTGCATGAGAACCAGAGAGAGAGAAAAAAACTGAATTTAGGAAGTAACACAACTCTTACTCTGAGTACAAAAAATACATTGAGCAGCATCTGAAGCTATATTGTGACTTTGACCCTCATGCGCTATGTGGTTGGTTCTACTGCATGATTGAATATTTTGTAGTATCTTAAATCCTAAAGTGTGCATACTGAACCATAATATCAAGGTCACAAAATCTATGGGACACTGAATCCAGCTCAGAAGCAAGAAGGTGAAATAGTCAATATTTTTCATACAGTGGTGAATATGTGAAATGGGTTACACACAAAGGTGGAAGCAGCAGCAATTTATGAGGGACTTGGACAACTATTTGGCAAAACAATTTATAGATTTTTAAGAACCAATAACAAAAATAACAAAGGCTTTTACTCGTCCTGTACACTCCTATGTTCATGCTCACATGGGCCAAATGGCCTTCTTCTGTGCTGTGAATTTCTATGGCATATGCAAATGATGAGATATACAATATGCAGTACTGTGTAATTTTTTTTAGAAAACCTTTTTATTTTGAGGGTGGTAGGACAGCACTGGTCTTTTCTGGTTCCCTCCAATTTCTGTAGATCTCCGTATATGACAATAAATGGTTTGCAAGCTTCCTTGTTATTCTTATTTAGCTTGAGTTCTTCATTGGAAGCTTGCTTATATGCAATTTAAATGACCAAGTCTTTCTTCGTGACCTTATTCATTGTCAAAAATAATCTGTATCATTTCAACCTTGTGGATATTAGCTGCAAGGTAGCTGAAACTATGATGTTTTGAGCCTCCTGGGGTTAATAATTTCAGCTATTTTGACTTTATTGTCGCTTCCTCACATTCCCCAGCTCAGTAACTGTTCAAAGCAATCAGTCTTCACTGCTCACCATTCATATAAAAATAACAAAAAAGAATCCAAAGAACCAAAAGGAAGTTCTGAATAATTACCACTTTTTAAAATTGTGATTCTATTTTGAAGAGCATCAATTGAAAGTCATTTATCAAAACAAACAATATCACCGTGAGAAAGAACAGCGTCAGGATTACGTACAGCAGGGTGATGTTAAAATGGATGGCAGTATAAATACAGTCATGTCAAATGGGCTGAAAAAGAAAGAGAGAGATGAAAATGAAATAAAATTCACACAAAAAACAAACTAAACAAAAATGAGGATCATTAAAAGTAAAAATAATCAACATCTGCATGGAGGAGTTTTGATGTAATGATTTAAGAGCACTGGAATGGAAACATTGCAAAGTAAATGACACTCACACTGGAATACAATGCTGAGGGACATTTCCTTTAGGAATAGCCATATAGCACCACACCGACTGCGACTGCTTTGCTGAGGCAATTTCAGGTCAGGTTCGGTGTGATGTACATGGTGATTTCAGTAGGACACATAATTTATGCCCAAGGCACTTTTTCCAGGCACTATTTATGATTTTGTTTTTCCAGGTTCTCACCAACATGGATGGGGGTAGGGGAGCGAGGGTCTTCAGTCACAAGAGAAGAGGCAGAGGGGACCTCATAGAAATGTACGAATTTTTTAGAAGGATTGAAAAAGTAAACTCAGATCAATACTTTAGGATGAACCATGACAGTAGAACAAGAGTTTTTCTCCCTTACCAAGAGGGTAATTAACAATTGGAACAGTTACCAGAAAGTGTGGTTGAGGGAAGGACACTGGACATTTTAAAAAAAAACAGCTTGATGCTGTGATGTAGGGTGGGTTTTCTGCAAGGAAACCAAATGGGTCATAGGGCCTTTTATCCTCCAAAACAATCTTGTGATCTTGTGAATAATTCACGTGGGGAGAGCACTATTTGGCATAGTGCATGTGATGGGGTTTCCTTCTCTTAGAAAGACTGTGGTAGGTGATCAAGATGATCCTGTATTTATTATATCCCACAGAACACTGCCATTGTAATACCTGCTTTAAAAGTTAAAAACATCCAATTTAACTTTTAATATTGTATTGTGTAGATCTTTGAAGAGAAAACAGCTGACCTAACTGGAGTTTTCAAGATTATGATGTAGCCTGACAAACGGCTGTTTAGTGCACGAGCTAAAAATATTCAGATGAAAAAATGTAGCTGCGCATTACCCACTAGCTTTTCCATTTGTTAACATTGATTCAAAATGTGCCTGTGACCGGATTTTAAGCAGGTATTACAGTGATTGCGATGGAGCAGGTCAGAAGCTGAAATCCAGTAAACATTATTTATGTAAATATACATTAATAAAACTGAATGAAAAATTAAAGATGTGTGCGTGTGGATCTCCAGATGCTTTAAATGTAAGATCTTGAGCAGGTTGTTCATCTGTCCGTCGAACCTGTATGTATTTAGTGAGAAAATGAGAGTCCTATTAAAATGTGTTGTCACTTTATCATAGAATCATAGATTTATACAGCACAAAAGGAGGCCATTCGGCTCATCATGTCTGTGCCGGCTCTTTGAAAAGAGCTACTCAAATCAATCCCACTCTCGCACTCTCTCCTCATAGCCCTGCAAACTTGTCCTCCCCAAATAATTATCTACTTCTCTCTTAAAAGTTGTTGTCGAATCAGCTTCCACCACCCTTTCAGGCATTATTATTTGTTTGATCATTATTTGTTTCAGTAAGTTCTAACAAAGTAGTCTAGCATGTAAAGGCACAATCCAGGCAACCACAAGACCATATAGAAAAAATCCCTCCAGTTTGAATCCCCAGGTGTATTTCCTGATCTCCGTAGTTGAGGCTACTACAATAAAATTTGCACAAGTCTTATCTTTATAAATTATATAATTGCCTAAGTCATACATGCACCCGAATCCCATTCAGTTTCCTATCAAAACCACTTAGACTAGTCATAGTCATCACCTCCTAACTCTTAACCTTCTCCCCCATCCTCCATTACTCCCGCACTTACCAGATGCATTCTCTATTATTATGGAGGATAAAAGGCAACATAGTCTTGACCCGTAACTGCATGCGCACTTACCGGCTACATTGCATGCATTGATTATTGATTAAATTATTGATTAAATTGGATTTTATATGACGTATACAGTTTGCCTGTAACTTGCCTGTAATGTTATGATCCCGACTGATGAAACTGGTGAGTTTTACTATATTGGCCTTTAGGAGAAAAAAATCAAATCACTTCTAACCATGATCCAGTGATTGTAGCTGGAAGATGCAAGCGCGTGGACATCGGAGAGTACTGGATCAGGCTTGGCTACGATATCTCCATTTTTCTACTATCGAGATTCACATATGACCCTTACTGTTGAGATTCATATATAATCATGCCTACTTGGCTGGATACACACACAATCGTATCTCAGTAAAAAGGAAAATGATGATTCCAGGAGAAGAGGGAACAGAAGAAAATTGGAAGAGAAAAAAATAACTGTGGTACATATCAACAAACATGATTAATGGTGCTAGCAGGTGTGGCTCCACTGAATAAACGATTGATGGAATCATGAGAGCAGAACCATTACACTTGTAGCAGTGGTCTGGCCATTGGAATGTAAGAAGACATTTTCCTAAACAGAGGCCTCTGGGGATAAAAATGCCATCATTGATGGCGGTGCTCAGAATAAGTGGATTAAATTGAGTTGAAGCTATGCACAAAAGTACATGAATCTCTGTACTTTCCAAGTCACTGTTCTCAAATCTAATTATAACATTGACAAATGGAGGCAACAACTAATTACCATTCCAAATGTTCCCCAACAACCAGGATACTGCCTTTTGAAATGAGAGATTATAAAATTTCCACATATAAATATCCTAATGCCTAATTGGCTTGTGTTCAACATAGTTTGCTTACTGTTCAGTAGTTTTTCATTGCTTCTGGGAGACAGGAAAGCTACAGGAAACCAAATTGTGCTGTCTGAACCAAATAGGCCATTAAAGAGAGGCCTGTGAAATAATTCAATAAAGAGCAGTTTCACTCACTAGAGACAGCAACAAAAAAACAAGCAAAGTGGAAAAGCTAGCCATAAAAAACAGAGGAAAAGTGACAAATGTAGAAGCAAAATCTGAAACTAGTCAGCAGGTCAAATTCTAGAGCATGACATGGGTTAGAGCAAAGATCTAGCATCTCTGGGATTTGTGCTTGAAAGACTAAAACTTGAACATCTAACAAGGTTCCTAAGTAAAGTCACTTTTGGGTACTGTAGTTAGAATTTAATTTGAACACTAAACAGCAATGTTACGAATAAACCAGTTGTCTCCTGGACCACCTATTCTCAGATAGCAGGCATTGTAGCTCAGCGGCTAGAGCACTCACCTCGCAAGGGAGAGACCTGGGTTTGATTCCTCATTACTGACCTGGCTTTTACTTTGATTCAGACTGATACTTGAAAGTAGGGGGAGAGGGAGGAGTGAGAGAGGAGTGAGAGAGAGAGGAGTGGGAGAGAGAGGAAGGGGGGAAAGAGGAAGGGGGGAAAGAGAAAGGAGAAAGAAAGGGGGGGGGGGGAGAGAGGTGGGGGGGAAGGGAGGGGAGAGTGTATGTGTGTGAGAGGTAAGAAAGGGGGAGTGAGAGACTGTGAGAGAGTGATTGATAGTGTGAGAGGGGGAGAGAGTGTGAGAGAGAGTCTGAGGTGGGAGGCAGTGAATGTAAGGCAGAGGGGGAGAGAAAGAAATTAGAGAAGGGGAGGATTGAGAGAGGGTGATCGAGAGAGAGTTTGAGAAGGGATAGAGAGTGTGTGTGGGAGAGAGAGGAGGGGGGAGAGAGGAGCGGGGGGCAGAGAGATGAAGAGTGGGGAAAGTGAAGGAGAGTGGGGAGGTGGAGTTTGAGAAAGAAGAGTGTGTGAGAGGAAGTGAGAGAGAGTAATTGAGAGAGTGTGAGAGAAGGAGAGTGTGCCTGAGAGAGAGTGTCCTCCTCCTTCCCCCTCTCCCCTTCTCTTTCCCCCTTCGCGACCCTCCCCCTTTCTCTTCCCCCCTCCTCTCTTCCCCCTCTATCTCACCCTCTCTATCTCCCCCTGACCTCCTTCCTCTCTCCCCCCGCCCCGCCTCCTCTCTCCCCCATCCCCCTTCCTCTCTTCCCCCGTCCCCCCTCCTCTCTCCCCCCGTCCACCCTCCCCTCTCCACCCCTTCTCTCCCCCCACTTCCTCTCTTCCACCTCCTCTCTCCCCAACTTCTCCTGTCCCCCCTCAGTTCACTATTTGCAGCGGCAGGAGCCAGCAGTTGGTTGCTGAGAAGCGGTTGGTAAGAGTCCTGCTCGCCTTCCTGACAGACTGCGGTAAAGGCTCTGGGAGCTGCATCCTCCCAACCGTTGGCTCCTGCTGTTGCCCTGGGAGGACGTTCACCAGGGAGGGAGGGAGGGAGGGAGGGAGGGAGGAAGGGAGCGGGTTGGAATGTTGGAAATGGTCTCAGGCTGGGTGAGGGCCGACAGCTGGCTCATGCTGGATGTGGCCTGCGGACCTTTTTTCAAATAGGGAAAGCAGACCACAACAGTGAAAAGGTTGGACCGCCATGGTCTAGAGGATGAGAATAATCATCCTTGCATTTGATATAGTTCGGATCACGTCTCAAACAGCTTCACAGGATTCAATGGAGTAACAATTGCAAATGAACGCGACAGCCAGCTTGTGCACAGCAATGTCCCACAAACAGCCATAAAGAAAATGACTAATTTTATCTGAGGGATTGCTGGCCAGGACACTGGGAGAGAGAAACGCACTTTTCTTTTGAAGTACTACCACAGGACCTCTAACATCCACTTGAACAGGCAGACAGGAACTCAATTTTTCACTCATACAAAGAATGGCACTTCCAACAATGTGGTGCACACCCAGCACTGTATTAGCCTCTGTATTGCAAGCGAGAGACCTGAGTTCACTTCCAGGCAGGTCAGGGCGAAACCTTGGGCAAGTTTCCTTACTCCACATGCCTAATAATAATCCCTCCAAAACCAAAAACAATAATAAATTGGTCATTTTCATTCTACGACTGTTTGTGGGACATTGCTGTGCGCAATTGGCTGCCGCGTTCGCCCACAAATATACAGTCAATTCACTTTACAGTGTGTTCTGTGAAGCGCTTTGGGATGTCCTCCTGACATGAAAAGCGCTATATCAAATGCAAGGATTATTATTATTATTATTATTGTAGGTCCGCACATGGGGATTGAAGCAACGACTTCTGACTCATTGATGAAAGTTTTAAGTCAGGGACCGGATGTGGGGAAAGAAGGACAGCTGTGGCTTGAACCTGATCTGTTCGGCAATAGAGAGCAAGTGGAGCCTGGCTAGAACAATGGTAAATTGTGATTTGCCATCAACAACAACTTGCATTTACATATCGCCCCTCCCACAGGATCATGTCCCAGAGCGCTTTACAGTCACAGAGCACTACGCTGAGCTCGGGGGGAAGTGATTATAGGCACAGTTGAAGAAGGTCTTCATGCGCGACCTGAAGATAGGGAAGAAAGGGGCAAGGCGGAGGGATAGAGGAAGAGTCTTCCAGTTACGGGGCATAGTGGCTGAAAGCGCAGCCGCCAATTGTGGAACAGAGGGCATGAGGGACATGCAGAAAGCCGGGGCCAGTCGAGCAGAGGCAGCAGGTTGGAGGCTAAGCAGGTCAGAGAGGTAGGGAACTGCCAGGGCATGAAGGGATTTGAAAATGAGTGTGAGGATCTTCGATCGATCCATTCGGCAATAGGGAGCAAGTGGAACCTGGCTAGAACTGGTGTGATGGGGGTACAGAGTTTGGTGCGGCTGAGTATGGTGGTGGCGGATTGTTTGGATCAGCTGGATCTTGTGCATGGTGGAGCTGGGGAGACCGGTGAAGAGAGCATTTGAAAAGTCGAGTCGGATGGTGATGAACGTACGGGTGAGTGTTTCAGCTGCATCTCTGGTAAGGTACAGTTGGAGGCAGGCAATGTGGCGGATGAGAAGGCAGTGCCTGTCAGGGACTGGATATGGGGAAAGCTGTGACTTGAACTTGATCCCTAGTTTGCGCACCGGTTCACTAAGTCTGAAGGATAGGCTGGGGAGGTTGAGGTCAGAGCCTCAGGATAGAAGAAGTTGATGGGTGTCAATAAGTATGGCTTCCGTCTTTTCAACATAACATTGCAGGAAGTTTTCACTCATCCAGATCCCGATGTCTACCAGATAAGTCAAGAGAACATCAGGTGGAGTCACAACTGGAGGAGGAGAAGTAGATGTACGTGTCATCAAAAAGAGACAAAAAGCTGAGCAAAATTGCAGCTCCATGGTAAATTTTACCCTTTTGCCAGACACGGACAGCTTTCAGAAATCACAAATAGCTATTTTGGAATACCATAGATTGAACCATTCGTATTTGTATAGTGTCCGCTTGAAGGCCAATGTGGATTCCAGCTTATCCACTGCTCCTGGCAGGGCACTTCCATATCCTAAATAATTATCATAATAATCCTTGCATTTGATACAGCGGCTTTCACATCGTTGAGACGTCTCAAAGTGCTTCACAGGATATATCATCAAGTGGATCAATTATGTATTTTGCGAGCGAAATGCAGCAGACAGTTGCATACAGCCATGGTGTGACCAATTTTATTTTACCAGGAAACCAGGAGAAACTGTTTTCTTTTTAAAGTGGATCTTTTATGTCCACTTGTACAGGCAGATGGGACCTCTGTTTAACGTCTCATCTGAAGGACAGCAACTCCAACAATGCAACACCACCCCCTGCATTGCCATATCATCTTAGACTATGTAGTTCTAAATCCCAACGTGGGGCTTGAATCCACAACCTTCTGTCTTAGATGCAACACTGTGCCAGGAATGCTATTCTGTGTGTGAAAAAATTCTCCTAACCTCCCCATTTGTTCGTTTGCTAACCTTAAACTCATGCCCTCTATTTACTGACTCAATGACGAGTGGAAGTAATTTCTCTCTATTGACTCTATCAAAACCGTTCATAATTTTCAAAAACCCTCAGCCTTCTTTGTACCATGAAGAAAGTCTCAGTTCTGCCAGGCCAAACCACTCAACCCCGATATCATCCTTGTAAATCTCCTCTATCACCTTGATGACTTTCCTAAAGTGGGATAACCAATAATAAACACAATATTCTAACTGGGGGCTAACTAAAGATTTATATAAGTTTAACATTATCTCTTTGCTTTTATATTCTACATATCTTTACTTATAAAACTTAAGATTCCATTAGCTTTTTGGACAGCTTTCTTCACCTGTCTTCCCACTTTTAAGCATTAAGTACATTAACATTCAACTCCCTTTTCTTTTCCACTCGTTTTATTACTTTACCATATATTAGATGATAAAATAATAACTCCTTATTCTTCCTGCTAAAATATATAACGTCACATTTGTCCGCATTAAATTTAATTTGTCATTTCTCTACCCAATCAACTAATCTGTCTTTCCCCTGAAATTGCTTACAATCTTCTTCGTTATACAATTAGCTGTTTGTTAGTTTCACAAAGAACACTGTGGGTAATGTTTTCTAAGCTACTCTTAAATGGAATGGATGGAATGAAACACAACTGCCATGAATGCCAAGAGGACATTACTGTGACATACCTGGCAGAGAATGGTGGTGTATTGGCCAGCGTGAGCCTGCATCAGCACACCCTCAGTACGACGGGTCCGAAACATCAGCCCAAGGAACCACGGGATAGAGATCTTCACTTCATTTTTAAAATCCCAAGACAACAAACTGTTTCCAAGGAAACGGTGGGGATGATGCATGACTGTAAAAAAATGCACAAACGAGAAAGATAAATAAACTGGCATTATACATTAAAAGCATTTGTAGATGATGCATATGAGCACGTAGGGAGCTGCACTGATCCTCACTGATCATGTAGGCACCACATGAGATGCACTGAGATTTGCATCAGTAATGTTTGCACAAGGGACAGATCCAGCTCAGGATGCCACAAAGGAGGAATTGAAGTGTGAAGATGTGTGAAGATGTGTGCCAGTAACGCACATTACACGGAACATGTGTGCTAGCCCCACCAGAGGTTCTGAGGGCCCAATAACAGATGGTACAATAATTAATGATATAATAAGACATGTTAAATATTTATGTTGAATGTTAATAAAATCATAGAACTTTTACAACACAGATGGAAGTGAAAACAGCCCATCATTTCTGTGCTGGTCTATCTCCTTCACTGCAGCTGACTATTCTAATCCCAGTCCTCTGCACTTTCCTGTGTCCTTTAATGTAATTTTTCTGAAGTGTTCTAGACATAACCATAGACCCTAATCCTACCCCACCCACACATTATTTCCATTCTCATGCTTCATTATCAAACTCGTGCATTAGTCACACAACCTATTCCCAGATCCATGAAACAACAGAAGACTGCTTGGTATGCAAGGGCACAAACCACAGTGTAAAGAAACACACCAGCTGGTTCTATAAACAAGATTACTTTGTTCTGCAGTAAATTCTTGGTTTGAAATAGTGGAAACCATGATAAAGGTGTGGATGTTTGAAAAATACCTCAAACAGATATTCTATAGCAAAATCATTCTTATATCAAACACGGCTAATCTGAGAGCTTCATCTACTTCCATTTCTACTAATCTACTTTGTCAGTAACCAGAACTGCATCTCTGGGCAATGATTTACCTTGTCCACAGTCCTTGCTTCCAAATCCCAGGGGGCACTCACAGAGAAAAGTATCCCAAATAACTGTGCAAGTGCCTCCGTTCTTGCATGGGTTTGAGTCACAGAATGGCTGATTCGTACTGCATCCTAAAAAGAACCATAGGGCAAATCAGAAAACTTTGAATAATATCATGATACTACATTACGGCAATTGTCAGTAAAAGTATCATTAGACTTCAGATTTATCATAGGATTTTCTGACTTATCATTAAAGTTTATAAATGTACTGACGATCAGAGGACAACCCTAGTAAATGAGAATATGGATCATTCAACTCAGACATAGCAAACGGAACTGGGTGTTGCAATTTGATCATTTTAGCTAGGCCTCAAATCTAACCCAGACTGGGGTGATACATCTTTTCTAACAGGCTATTTTCTAACAGGCTACTGCACAAAACAGGGTTTTAGAAATACTAGTCTGTTTCCAGTAACTTAGATTCAAGAACAGTTGAGTCTCTTATCTGATGTTTTAAAGCTGCTGAGTTGAGAATTTATATAGCCTGAATCCTGGTCACAAAAGGCAGTGGAGCTGATATAACTTGGAAGTTGAAAGTTTACTGCTAAAAAAACAGCTCTATATTGCAATGAATGAGAAGAGTGCGAAATGGACAGAAATGTCTTCTTTATCAGAACCAACAACTGACTCCCATTCAGCTTGTCCAACTGCATCCGAACATCTTGTAATCTTTTGTGAAGATTAGTTGTTGCCTACGCCTGTGCTTTATTCTTATTGACATGAAAGCAACTCTTCTGCTCTAACCATGTAAATGTGGACAGAAAACTCCTGCTGTAAAGATTCCTATCAGCTTGGCTAGTTTGGTAGCAATCTAGTTCCTGGGTCACAAGGCCTCACAGTGCAAGCTGACACTCAGGTCAGGACTATGGGAGCACTGTATTGTCAGAGGTGTCATCTTTCAGATGCAATGTTGTACTAAGACTCCCTTTGAAACTTTAGGTGAATGTTAAAATTTTAAAGGAAAGGACAAAGGAATTTCTCCTGTTGCTCTGACTAACAATACTCCAGATGATTGAACTTGGGCGTAACCTGTTGAACCAAGCGCGTTCATCACATCTAGGCTTGACTACGCCAACTCCCTGCTTATCGGCCTTCCCAACTCTTCCCTGCACAAGCTGCAGATCATCCAGAACTCTGCAGCTTGTGTCCTAACCCACACCAGGCTCTATGACCGTATCAACCCCACCCGGCTCCACTGGCTCCCCATCCCTCAGAGGATAGAGTTCAAAATCCATCACATCAATGTATCTCAAAGCACTTTACAGTAATTACTGTCACTGTAGTGCCTCTTTTTACGGGCAACCCTGCCAGCTACTTGCATGAACAAGGTCCCACAAATGCAATATCTATGCACTCCACAGCCTTGCCCCTTCCTACCTCTGTAACCTGCTAACCCCTTATCAACCTGTCCGCTCCCTCTGCTCAGCACGCTCCGGCCTGCTGCACATCCCACCCTACAAATTTTATGTTGTATTAGGTTTGATCCCCAGCTGTTGCTCCTTCACCACATTCAGTCCTTCACCAGAATGGTTTTCCTGCATCTCCACCACACTGCCCATCTCCGACCATACCTTACAACTTTATCCAAGCATTTGTCACCTCCAGACCCAATTTTTTGAATCCCCTCCTTGCCATTCTACCCAGCTCCACCATTCATAAATCCAATTAATTCACAACTCTGTCAACTATCTCCTCACCCACACCAAACTCCACACCCCGATCACCCCAGCCCTTGCCAGGTTTCATTGGGTCCCTATTGCAGAATGGATCGATTTCAAGATCCTCACACTTGATTCCCTGGAACTTCCTAACTCTCTGACCTGCGTATACCTCACTCCTCTACTCGCTCCTGGCTCCTTTCTCCTGCACATACCCCGTCCTCTCCACACCACTCTCGTGTCTTCAGCCCCAAAACTATGGAACTATGTGCCTCAATCCCTCCGCTTATCCCCTCCTTGCCAGGTTTCAGATTGCATCTGAAGACCTTCCTCTTTCACCCTGCTGATGGTCGCCTCCCCGTCACATTGGTTCAGTGTCAAGCTCCGCTACTGTTAAGCTACTGTTAAGCGTTACCCCATCGGAAGGGTGATACGAGTGCAAGGTGGTGTTGTTTGCATAGACATTGCATTTGTGGGACCTTGTTCATGCAAATAGCTGGCAGGGATTGCCCATAAAAAGAGGCAATACAGTGACAGTAATTACTGTAAAGTACTTTGAGATACATTGATGTGATGAAGTGCGATTAAAAATGCTTGTTCTTTCTTATTTATGTCAGTGTTGGTCAACTATGCTAAGGTGAAACAGTGAATGCCTATCATCAAACAAATAACTCTACAGACCATTGTGCACTAACCAGAGCAGCTCTAGACTGAATACCATATTATGCAGGGAAGCTGCATTGAACAATGCTTTAAACCGGAGCCCTCTGCCTAGTTCACTTGTAATTGTAAGCAATAAAATGTCATTCTTAAACTGTTCATCCTCGTTGATTTTTAAAAAGGCTGTTGCGTTCCATCTAATAATAATCCTTGCATTTGATATAGCACCTTATCACATCTTCAAGACGTCTCAAAGCATTTCACAGAATATACTGTAAAGTTAATGGGAGTGTATATTTTGTGGACAAAATGCGGCAGCCAATTGTGCACAGTTGTGTCTCACAAACAGTCATGTATTCAGTGACCAATTTTTTTTTAACATTTTGTTTTGAGGAATTATTACCCCTTGAAAAGCAATCCTGCAATTGACTCACAACCAGGTTCCTACTTACTGCTAGATAAACAGTAAAGGAGTGTGTGGAGTAAGAAAAATTGTCAACCGTTTCGCCCTATCTGGCAATCGAGCCCAGGTCCTCTCACTTGTGAGTGCTCTAACCACTAAGCTACAGGACTCCACATATATCAGAACCAACTTCAAAAGACGGAGCTTTATCTCAAGGGAGCTAGTTTGTAAATGTGGTGAGGCTCATAATGGCATTTTGAGCTAATTAGTTCTTTTGATTTGCCACACAAGGGTCCATTAGCAAGCCTGGGGTAGGGCATAAAGACTTCTATGACAGGAATCATTTCTATGGATATGTCACAGCAAAATTAAACCAATCACATCGACCTCCGGCAAGCATTTAGTTTAATGATTTTAATGAGAAATAATATATAAGGTTTCAGGGAAAAACGGAATTAGAATTAGAGCATTGAGCATCATTGAAGGAGCATACCAGTATAGTTGTGATGGGCTGAATGGCCTTTGACTATGCTTGTAATTTCTATGATTTTAATAACATTTTATGAGCATAGAAATGGATGATGAACCAAATTTAATTATGAAATAATTTAGTGCAGAAATATGTCTTCCATCCTACAGTTCTGAGAGCAAAGTTACAAGCCTGTTGGACAAGTGACAATCCACGCTGAGACTGATCTGAGTCTTTCTTTCTCACATCCACCCCTCACTTCTTTTTCTGTTCAGTTCCTTAAGATTGCAGTAAGCTACTTGTTTTATTATATATGTTGTTTTAATTGTGGCCCTGTTAAAACAGTAGATAGCCTAGAGTCAGCAAAATAATTCAGCTGCATCAATTCGCTGGCTGCCACTACAATCACCATCAGAAGTTGCTGACAATTAACCCTGAACCAAAACTTTGAGATCTAAAGGAATGCAACAAGCTGTTCACCAAGACTTAAGTGGTCTATTAATTGGTGCAGGTATTGAGGAATGGAAGAATCTACTCTGAGAAACTTGTATTAATAATTCTTGCACTTGATATAGGTTCTAGAATATCAAAGCATCTCAAAGATTCACGAAAATTGCTGCTAAGTGTAGTGACTTTATTTGTTACTTGTAGGCAAACAGAGCAGTAGCCAACATGCACGCAAGTTTCAACACACAGCCATAACAAGAAAGGTCAATTTAACTGGAGAACTGTTGGTGGCTATGACACCGGTACAAACTTCCTTCTCTTTCACAATATTGTCATGGAATCTTTAACACTAAACTGAACAGGTAAATGGGACTTTGATTTGGCGGTTCATCTAAAAGACAGCATCTCTGAAACGTAGCACCCCTCAAGCACTGCACGAGAGTGTCAGTTTAGACTATGAGCTCAAAGTACCAATTTGTTAAATATGATGCCACAGGTCAGTACTCTGGTACTGTGTGGCAATGGTGTAAAGATCCAGCATCATATAGTGGTAGGATGGAAATGTACTCACATGGTGAGATGTCAGTCAGGTATGATTTGTCAGGCCTTGTTGGTCTACAAGGAACTGAGGTTAGCTGAGGTAGTAAGCAAGAGAAAGTGAAGCGCAAGTAACAAGATCTGCTGTTCAGAAGCAGAGCATCTCCTTTGCCTCTTAGGGAATAGCATAGGAAGAATAATCAATATTAAAATTAAAATTTTAAAAATATAAAAAATAGTGATAAAGAATTAGGTTATTTTGTGAATAATGTCAGCAAATACTGAAATTCTTGTAGGAAATTCATAGATGAGCTTCTCTCCTGACAAAAGTATGAAAACTGAACGAACATCAGAAGATATCCAATAATGAATGCAATGTACTTCTGCTTTTGTGTCATGTCAACTATTGATGTCAGTTCAGCTCTTGAACACTGATTAAGCATTCACAATCTCCTCCCAGCTCATTTCAGAGTCATCAGCAGTCAACAATCAAAAAATGAGCAAAGCTTATTGAAATGAATTTTGTGTTTAACTCAATACAAGAGTTGAATATTTTCATAACTGGAAACCAAGATGAAAATCAAAGGCCCGTGGTATAAGACACCATCAATGTTGAATGGAATTGGCTATATTCAGAGATGATTATCTTTCCATTTGAAGATAGTGGACATCATGGTCTTTGCTCAAAACAAAGTATTAGCTTAGGCTGAGATGTTAGACCGAGGACCTGTTTATCTGTTCATCATATGGACATTAAAGAATACACCACAATACTGTTAAACAGAAGAATGTTTCTCCCAGTATCCTGGCCAACCACTTTCAATTTAAATTGTCTATTCACCTCAAAGCTGTTTATGGGACCAGGCTGTGTGCAAAATGGCTGCTGTGTTTCTTA